TTTGCCTTTTGCACAAGCAGAACAGAAGAATTCCTTTTTACTGTGAATTTTGGGAATACCTTTAGCTAGTTCTAAGTTTGCTAATCTTGATAAGATTCCTACACTTACATGCCCTAGTCTTCTATGCCAGTCCATTTGCTCGTTTTTATCCACTGTTACTAAGCAAGTTTCATTGAACAAGGATTTATCATTCAAGTCAATGACAAACAATTTCCCTTTTCTTTTTCCAGTGAACAGAACTTGTTTACTTGAAATGTTTTCAACATAGCATGTATTTGGTTCGAATACTACACGATTCTCAGTTCCACACATTTGACTTATGGACAACAGATTGTGTTTAAGACCTTCAACTAACATGACATTCTTAATTGATGGATTTGACCCTACTTGACCCTTTCCTAAGATGTTTGTGCTGTAATTATCACCAAAATAGACTTTACCTTTCTTTCCTAGGGTAAGTTTTGAAAATAATTCTTGTATACCTGTCATATGATGTGAGCAGCCACTGTCCAGGATCCATTCACTGTCATCCATGCTCACTTGGAGACAGACTTGCATAACCATGGTTTTATTTGATCTTTGGTATCCAAACCTGTTTGGATATCCTTAATTTTATATTACAGTATTTCTTTACATGTCCTGAATGTCCACAGTTATGACATTTTTTGTTCTCCTTTGCAATTCTTCTTCGGCAATTAGCAATATAATGACCATTTTGATGACAATAAAAGCATTCAGTATTTGTTGACTTTCTTCTCTTAGGACCCTGCTTAATAATTGAGTTGCTAATAGTCTGATTAGGAAGACTAGAAGGGCCCTTTCTGCAGCACTTGCAGCTTTTAGTGTCTGATACATCTACATCTTTTAGAGCCAGAAGTTCTGCTTTCAGTGCCTCATTTTCAATCATACATTTCTTAAGTTGACATTCAACATTTAGTTTTTCTCCTTTTAGTCTATCACATTCATTATTTATGTGTAGATATTCATTTTTCAGTTTAGCATGTTTAACTCTAACATTTTCAAATTCTTCTTGAATGTTTTTAATTGTATCAATCATCTCTTCAGATTCGCTGTAGTTATCAGAGTAATAGTCAAGATGACTTACCTGAGGTGATTTGGAGTCATCATCACTCATTTCCAGAGCCATGTAAGCAGTTGCCTTTGTTTCATCGTCGTCTTCCTCTTCTTCGCTGCAGCTCCAGGTTGCAGTGTACGCTTTCTCCCTTTTCAGCATTGGGCATTCAGCCTTTATGTGGCCTATCCTTCCACACTTGAAACATCCAGCCTGAGACGATTGCTTATCTGAAGCAGCTCCTTCTCTTCTTGGCTTTGACAGTGATCGATTTGGTTTGATTTGTTCATCTCCTTCTCTGAATCGATTCAACAATCCTCCTCTTCTCTTTTCTTTCCTCAACCTCAGTAACTTAGCTACGTGCTTGCTCAGCATAGCTAACTCCTCGTCCTCCATTTCATCAAGACTGTCGAACCCATCTTCCTGAGCTGTTGCTTTGAATGCAATGCTCCTTCGTTCTTTCCTTGGCTCTTCTGCTTCTTCTTTCTTCAGCTTTTCTTCATGAGTTATTAGGGACCCCATGAGCTCATCAAGACTTAGTTTAGTGAGGTCCTTTGATTCCTCAATGGCTGTAACTTTTGGCGTCCATTTCTTTGGTAGCGCCCATAAAACCTTTCTGACCAAGTCGCAGCTTTCGTACATGATTCCCAAGTTCATCAGACTGTTGACAATCGTTGTAAACCTTTCATTCATCTCTCTGACTGATTCTTCAGGCTTCATGACAAATGACTCGAATTCTTACTTCAAACTGTTTATTCTTGAAATCTTCACATGGGTCGTACCTTCATGAGCTATCTGGAGTTTATCCCAGATTTCCTTGGCAGATTTGCATCCAGTGACTCGATGATACTCCTCTGGTCCCAATGCGCAGTATAGCAAATTGGTGGCCTTGGAATTCATTTGATAGTTCCTTTTGTCTGTGTCTGACCAGTTTCCTCGAACTCCCTTGACCTCCAGTGGACCATCGAGGATGATGTCCCAAAGATCTGGGTCGGTGGAGCCGATGAAGAGTTCCATTCGATTGCGCCAGTACCCATAGTGCACTCCTTCGAATCTCGGGGGTCTTGTTTGTGAAAATCCATCCGCCATAAAGATCGCACCGCTGTTTGCGCTTGAGCTCATTTTCTCCGAAGGTGATTAAGCCTCTTTCGTCGGAGCCGGGCTCTGATACCACGTGTAGAAAGAGTCGAGCGCGAGACTTTTCCAGCGATTTGCTCTTCTTTCGTTTGACTGTGTTCCTGAAACCCTAATTTCGACTTTGACGAGATCAAGTGAGAAGAATGGGAAGCAAAGGCAGAAATCAATTCTCAATGCTATTGAACGTTTCTTTCTAAGTTTACCTACACGACACCGTCCTGGGATGGATTGTTACACAGCTTTGGGCCTGATTCAGTTTTGCTTTGTCAATTGAAGTTGGCCCGATTTGCAAAAGTCAGAACGCTGCGTTTCAAGATTCAGTTAAACCTTCTTCTTCTTCTCGTGTAAGTTCACCTGCTCTGTTCTGCAAATCACTTAACCCAGAATTCCTTCAAGTACAGTAAACAGATTAGAATGCAGACCAGAACTTATCAAAGAGAAGAAAAATGACACCACACCAATTTTTACGTGGTATCCGGTGTTAGGTGATTAATGAACCCAACACCGACTAATCCACGGTCGAAGGATCTCTATCTCGAGACCTTCGACGATTCACTATGTTTATTCGTTTATGGATTTACAAGTAACACTGAGTTTGATCTCAAAGTGACCTCCTGTCACTGGATCAGAGTCGCCCTGTAGAGTCTGCTCCCTGCACCTACTCTACCCTGACTTCTTAATTCTGATACCCAAGTTTTCACCCCGAAAACCCTGTTTCTTTTCTTTCTCACGCACAACACTCTGTTTTTCTTTGCTGAGAAAATTGCCGAAAAGAACTCCTCTATTCTACCCAGAAAACTCCTCTTTTATTTCACTCTTGAGTCGACCGTTACTGGTGAATCAATTTGTCATTCTTGATTTCCTTGATTGATTGCTGTATCTGCTCTTTCCTTTTCTTTCTTGACAAAATAGTTTCCCCACAGTTACTTGCCTTTCTTGACATCTCGATGCCAATGACTGAGCTTCCATCAACACCATTTCCTGCCACCTCTCGGCCATCATCACCCAGTATACCTCGTCGGCCAGATCTACTATCACCAGGACAACAACATGGATTTGCCTGTGTATGGGAATGGGATTTGGGTTGGAAAGTGGGTATTTGTATTTAGTTGTTACTTTGGTTAGGAGTATTTGTGTAGTAGTGTTTTTATTGTGATGGCGTTCCAGATCCAATCTGAAGCAGTAGGGTTGCATGGGTGTCGTTAGGAGTATTTTTGTGTAGTAGTGATTTTTATTTACTTGCATTATAAAAAAAAAAAAAATTTATTTACTTGCAGTGATATTTGATAACTATTAGTAATATTCGGTAAAACAATCAATTACCTACTAATTATAAAATGCTACCTATGATAATAAAATTACTACCAGGGTCATCAAATCAATACAACATCTTTGTTAAGTCACTACCAATTTAAGTAGTAGTAATTTTCAGTTGTGTTTATTCCTCAACGTAAAAATTCTTTATGAGTGGAGAGAAATATATTTTTGGATTTTAATTTATTTATTTAATTAAATTTTCTATAATACCAAACACGTCCCTCACTACTCTCCATTGTGAGATTACATTAATAATAATGAACGGTAGGGGTGGGCAATGGGCGAGTTGGGTTGGTTTTCATTTCAAATTGACTCACCCGCTTATTAGCGAGTTGGAATAATTATGACCCGCAATTCACCGACATTCTTCTGCGGGTCGGGTTGGGTGAGTGGCGGATGAGTGCAGTTGGGTCGTGGGTTAACCCGCAAGAGCAATTCTCCAACTAGCCATTAAGATAGTTGACTAAAATTTATAATAAGTTTATAGTAAATTAGTAAGACTGTATCAATTTAAACACACACTTCTCATTTTTTTCTCAAATGAATCCATGTAGTATTTGCATAAAAAAATTTAGTACTCTTCTTTGTAACTTTTAATCTTATTTCACCATTATAAAAAAAAAATTTACTACTCTATCAACCAATTGTGTAGAGTAAACTTATGCATTTTGTGATTTTGATAAAATAAATAATTTAAAGTTTTCATCCAATATTTAATGGATATTAACAATAATTTGCATTCCAATATCCAATATCTAATGGATATTACACAACACAATAACCAATAATAGTAGTCAAAACTACATTTTTTCTTTTGAAAATAGGATGCACGTCATTCGGGTGACCCGCAATCCACCCACCACCAACCCACATAAGTGCGGGTGGGAGATTTATCAATCCGCAATCCACCCGCATCAATCACCCACTGATTACGGGTCGGGTTATTTGCGGGTGGATCGATATCAATCCGCGGATTAACCACCCACGTGGCCACCCCTAATGAACGGTGATAAGAGTAGTTAGCATGGTGGTAACTCGTACCAAAGTGTTTGTGCTTTGTAGCGTCTGCTGACTTCAACGCATGCTCGTTTCAGATAAGCGAAAACTCCCCCATCAATTGTTTGTTGTTTTTAGCGAAACGGTGCGCAAGTGTCGGTTTAAATACTTTCTCGATTGATGTTGACATAAGAAAGATCAAATCAATTTTAAGGTTCCGCGGTATTCGACCAAATGCTCCTAATCAAAATCTGAGCTCACTAGGTGCTTTATTTTGTATGACGACTACTATGTTGTTTTCCCTTCTGAGTTTTGGTATCAGACTAAAACGGTCATGTATTTCACATCAGAGGCGGGATGTCATGCTTCCTTTCAAAGCAGTTGCCTGGCATTCGTTGGAAGAATTAACATAGTTCTGCAAACTATGTTGCAGAGAGTTGATACTACCCGGCGAAGTGCAACTTACGTAATTCAAGCTTCAAAGATTAGCTGATTGTGCAGGTGACAACTGACAAGAGGTGATGGTTTTCCAACTATAACGAGAGAAGTGGTAATAACACCCTCGCTGGGCAAGTTCAACCCGGAGGTATACAATACAATAATGAATACAAACTAATTAATATCAGAAGGAACTATAACACACAGCTCACTTCATTCCTTCTCCCATATCTAATGTAAGGTAATGACCATTTACACAAAGCAGAAGGTCAAAAGCTCGCTCTGAAGCCTCAACAGAGTTTGCTTCTTGCTTCTGCCTGCAAACGCCCATGTGTCACGCAAAAAACCAAACAGATGGGCGAAACAAATAAGGCCCACCACGAACCATGTTATAGGAAGAAGTAAAGCTCCTTCAATCTAAGGAGCTGTGTTTGACCGAGTGAGATTCTTGTGCCTATCATGTTTTCGCCTTGAACTTCTTCCTTTGAGCTTTCAGATCCACCACAATAACTGTGATATTGTCCTTGCTACCTTTCTGAATAGCACGGTTCGACAGATACTCTGCTGCTGCCTGAGACGCAGGATCAACCCCCTCATGCCCTTCTAATAAATGAGAGGGAGGAGGAGCACCAGCCTCATTCCCATTCTTCTTGTGCCAGACGAGTATTCTTCTCCGAGCAAGATCACATGCTTCCTCGTTTGACATTACGTCCCATAAACCGTCACTTGCCAGAACCAGGCATTCATCCTCTTTGGCTCGTGGAATGAACATTACTTCTGGTTCTGGAATAATCCATGGTTTCAGATATCTATCACCTGCAACAACAATTCCCAGATTGATCAAGTTCAGTGTTTGAAGCTTGAATTGTGTAAATATCACAGTAGGGGCAGCCTATGGCATCAATCTGCAACAACAATTCCCAGATTGATCAAGAAACATGGAAATAGCATAGTAGGATAGATTATGGCACAGACATTAGATGAGTGAAAATGAGCACATTCTAATTGAATCTGGCAAGAACAAGTAACAGGTTTAAGCTACTGGTTTATTTAAGAACATTTATGCCATCAAAATGCTGTCAAACCAAGCAGGTTTATTAATAGCATCACAAATTATCTGCAGTTAATGGAAACTAAGAGTTCGGTGTACAAGAAATTATAAGTTCACGTGAAAGATTATCTATTATTTCAAATAAGCGAGCTATAATTGGTCATATGCTCTTGCTTGTAACAGATGGTGCACTAACTAACTGTCAACGTTGAAATGGTAACTCTATATAACAGTTTGATGCTGCCATAACAAGGATTGACATGCTTTGACTTTTAGAAAAAAAGGACAAGAAATGTAATTGCGAGTCAAGAAGCACATACCAATGGACCTTGACATTGCAAGAACACCAAAGACGCGATGCCCATTCCATTGTATTACCTTGCCTCCAGCTGCTTCTATCCTTGCATATTCATCTTCTCTATTTGGCTGAAAGAATCATAAGAAAAACAAACCAACTTAAAAATATGAGCTTCATCAAGTCAAATAACGATAGATAGCTGCAAGACAGGAGATTTCTGTTAATATATTGTAGGTTTCTTCTCACTTTATGATCCACTGATAATGCAATAGGTTCTTTGCCACGACATAGGACAGCTCTTGAATCTCCACAATTAGCTACTATGATGTGGGAGGAGCAAATAACAGCGACAACAGCAGTGGAACCCACAGTTTCTGGTGCAACTGGTTCATCAGTACTGGCTTCTGTTCCACCAATTTCAGCATCAACCTTTAAAAAACAATTTGTGAAAGCTTTTCTCCATTGCTCTTGGCAACCATCAGTCACACAATAACCATTCCCAACAAACCCAATCTCCTCAGCCAATGCAGTATGGACACGGTCACGACAGTAGTTTGCAACCTGCAGAGCAAAAATAAAGCTTGCTTCAAGCCTGACAATAGAAAAGAACGACATGCTCAAAGAGGAACCGATACATTTTAATGAAGGACAAAAATTAGAGATATAAGGAGCAAGGGCATGCGCCTACCTGTGACCCTCCATGACCATCATAGACTCCAAAAAAATGAGCAGTCTGATGGGTTATACACTTGCTTAGGCCATCCAGCAATTGGTTACCAACTAGCATTTGCATAGGTATTTTCAGAAACTGAGGCACGGTTGCAACTGCGTCCTCCATCTCTGGTCTTCTTCCACAAACAGATGTAAAACCCCAGAGGGGCACATAGTCCAACTCAAAGACACTACGAGCAATGGCTGCTCCACGAGCCTCTTTCTCCAGCGCCAACTGAACAACAACAGGAGGAATAGTCTTTGTGTCTGAACAGGATGTAGTATTAACTTCTTCTGCGTGGCTCGCTGCATCAGCTAGAGAATTTTGAGAGACAATACTTGACTCATCCAGATCTGTGGCTGTGTAGCTAATATCAACACCACAGATGCTCTGGTCAACAACCTCTAGTGAACTACTACTTGTTCCAAACTCGGAGTTGGCCTCAAAAATCAAGAATTCTTCCCCAAATAAGCTGCTAGTCTCACTAGCTACCGAAAGGGAACATGAACTAACAAGCTCAAGATTCTGATCACCTTCTAATGACAAAGAATCATCTTCCTCACCATCTTCAATCCCGGAGACCCAATTGCTCTTATCCTCCTCTTCAGATATCATGTCCAACAAGCCCTCCCCACCTCCTTCCTCCACTTGATTTGAAACCAGCACTATTCCGTCAACAACTTCATTAGCCAAGTCACCACAATTACAATTGTTGTCCCTGACAAAAGTAGAAACTTCAGTTTCAGGACCATCAGATTGTTGTCTAGCTGCTTCTGCCATACACTTCTTCTGCCTTTTGATATCCAAGTGGGTATCTAAAGTCGTGTTTTCACAAGCTAAATTACCTACTCTAAGTGGCAGTAGCACCGTCGTATACATCCCCTCCATCAAAATCCCTATCCAGCAGCAAGTACAGAAAGTTACCTTTCAGTCCCATTGAAATCATCATTACTTTTTATTCAACCAAAATAGCTACCGAAAATGATTCCAGAATGTGAATGGCGGTGGGTTTCAGCTGCCCATTCCCCATGCCGTAGCAGAAGCAGAAATTGCAAGGGAGGACAAGGCAAGGCAGATCTGGTCAACTAAAATGGACGGCGAACTTTCCACCTTATAGACTCAGTAGTAGAAGACTCATCAGCTTCTTCTTCTCTGGAGTCTTCTCTGTCAACTTCCATCAACAATAAAGGACCAGAGAAAATAGAAACTTGAAATCCACGAGGGAAGAAAGAATTTACAACAAAAAAAAAAAAAAAAAAACAAATTCCCCCAGAATCAAGAAATCAATCGAGAAAACAGAAACGACCCATCATCCACAACTTTGAACCGAAATAAATGATGAGATAAAAAGGGCCATGAGAAAGGAGAAAGAAAGCACAAGTCCCAGGAATCACAAGACGACATTTATTAACAAAAAGGATGGTATGGTTACCCTTTCTTGATATTATTAACGCCATAGTTGCCTGGATCTGAGGCAACCCATCTGAGCCTCTTGTCAAATTTTCCCTCTATTGCATAGCTCGCTCGCTCCCTCCCTCTCACTCTTCTCTCTATCTCTCTCTAATAATTCTGCAGCAATTTATCTAGAATTTAGAAAGCAAGAAAGTAACAGCAACTAAAGCAATGGAAGAAGGAAATGGCAATACGGGAAAGGAAGAAGTCCACTCACTATACCTGCTACCAGTAACCAGTTGGGTCGGGTTGGGTTGGCCAAGTACTGCCAATGAATGGATGAACCAGCGAAAAATATTAAGACCTGGGTTCCGGTACAAAATTTTGCCCTGCAAAATTCGATCGCATCGAAAAAATAAGATATGGGTTCCGATACAAAATTCTGCCCTGTAAAATTCGATTGTATCACGATACGATCGAATTTTACAGGATTTTATGGGCAGGAATTTTGTATCCTATTGGCTCCAAAATAAATATTGACCAAGGCAGGTTTTGTTCTTTTTTTTATCAGTAGATCACTTGTATTACCAAGGCAAAAAGCTAGCAAAGTTTACAACCTAAGAATAAACCAACGACTAAAATCAAGAGTATCTACAACCGCAGGCAACAAAGAAAGGGTCTTCCTAGCCACCTCATGGGCCACCCGATTGTTACTCCTGCCAACAAAGGTCATCTCAAACCGCTAGTACCGATGTCACAACTTCCGAATCTCTTCAAGAATCTGTCCACCCTTCACAAAAAGAGTATCCATATTCTGAATTTTCTCAATGACGACCTTCGCAACCCCGCAAAATTGCACTTCAACGAGACCCTTCAAAGAGCACCACTGAACCGCATCACGAAACGCCACCAATTCCACCAGAAAGGGATCCTCCAGACCTGCATAACGAAAGCCTTGCACAAAACAAACCCTCCCCAACCCGCCATAGACCACCAAGCCCCCAGCACCATGCGACCCTGAGAGGACAGCACCATCCACGTAGCAACGATAGGGCAAATGCACCAACTGCCCTTGATCCCCACCATCCTGCCAACGAAGTTGCTACCCCTGCCCTTGACTATCCCGGCCAGACTCGACCAGAGCCAACCATTCGCAGACCTGCTCCTCATACTGCCTCACTAGTGTATCCACCCCTTACTGGACATGGTAAAAAACCACCCAATTCCGACTCTTCCATATCCTCCATAACAATGCTATAAACCTAACCACCCTCTCTACACTAGGATCCTGCTCAAAAAATCTGCGAAGGAACCAGGCAAATTTCAAAGGAGGCTGCCTCACATGTCCTACATCCAAGCCCAACCTCTCCCACAACATCGTCGCCATTCTACACGAGAGAAACATGTGCTCCAAAGTCTCCAAAGGCGCCCAACACACCGGGCACCTAGGATTAATAGACGTAGCATCCTCAGGATCAGGTTCCACCTCTTTTGGTACTCTACCCATCCGCTCAATTATAGCTTACATAGTAGGAAGGATCCGCTTCATAATCTGCCACAGGAAACACTTCAATTTTGGAGGAATGGGAAGTCCCCCACATCTTTTTCCAGAAAGCCATATCAAAGAAGGAGACCTCATCCTTCCAATCTTGGAACCTTTTAGCATACAAGAAAGCCAAATGATATCTCGATTTCACTGTGTACTCCCCATCCCCCTCACCTGTCCAGACTTGCCTATCCTCCACCTCACCCCTCGGCAATGGTATAGACTGAATAGCCCGCACCACCGGCCGAGGGAACCACTGGTTAAGACAATCCGAACACCATTCTCCCTTATCGGGAATGATCAGAGAGTCAACTGTCACCCCTGACAAATCAGGCGCCGAAGCTTTAAGCTCAAGGTCCTCCGTTCGAATTCTCGGGATCCAGTTATCCTCCATAATCCTAACATGAGATCCCTCCCCAATCTGCCATCCAAGATCCTTGAGAAGCAAATACCTTCCATGAAGGATACTAGTCCACCCCCTAGAGGGCCTGGAGCGACGTGTCGCTGAAAGAATAGACGTCCGCGGAAAGTACTTACCTTTCAACACCCTAGCAAGCAACGACTCCGGCTCCTTCCAGATCCGCCAAGCTACTTTTGCCAACAGAGCCTTATTAAAATTCTCAAACCGTCAAAAACCCAGACCCCTGTCAAATTTGCTCATGCACAGATTACGCCACGACACCCAATGAGCCTTTTCCTTCTCCACCGAAAAACCGCACCAAAATCTTGCCATGTACTTATCCAGCTTACGACATAGAGTCACTGGTAAAAGGAAGCAAGACATGACATAAATTGGAAGTGCCACTGCAACCGCCTTAAGTAGAACTTCTTTCGTCGCCCAAGACAGTTTCTTCTGTTTCCACCCTTGGATTTCGGCCAATAACCTCTCTTCCAGATACCTAAACATTTCCAATTTTGATCGGTGAACTAAGGACGGAAGACCCAAGTACTTATCCTGAACACCAATCGCTCCCGCACCTAAAATGGCCGCCATCTCCGCTGCATAAGGGGGATTCACATTTTCACTAAAGCACACCGCTGATTTACTCAAATTAACTTTCTGCCAACTCAAATCCTGATACTCCTTCAACAACTCAAGCAACGTTTCACATTCACACTTGGATGCCCGAAAAAACAAGTATGAGTCATCAGCAAAGAAAAGATGAGACACACTGGGGCTCTGAGGATTCACCTTGACCCCGATTAAACTTCTTGCATGTATAGCCTTTCTTATTAGCGCCGCAAATCCTTCAGAGCATATGACAAATAATAATGGAGATAACGAATCTCCTTGTCGCAATCCCTTTGTTGATTTAAAGTACCCAGATGACGTACCATTCATCATTACAGAGAATGTCGTTGTAGAAACACATTCCTGTACCCACCCAATTCATTGAGAACTAAACCCCATCTTAGTCATTAGAGCAAACAAGAAAGGCCACTCAACTATATCATAGGCCTTTTCCATATCAACCTTTAGAGCCAAGTAACCTTTTTCCCTTGCTTTTTGATCTTAAGATAGTCCATAATCTCATGCCCAATCAGTACATTATCTACAATCTGGCGTTCACGAATAAACCCATTATGCTCCGGTGAGATAATAGAAGGCAAAATGATGGTCATTCGCTCAGCCATGATTTTCAAAATAATCTTATAAAACATCTAACAAAGACTTATCGGTCGAATCTGCTTCATAGTTTCAACTGTTTCCACCTTAGGTACCAAATTCAACCATGTATGGTTAAAACTTTTCAGTAGTCTACCAGACCGAAAAAATACCGGACCGCCTCCACCACATCTGGACCAAAAATGTCCCAATAGCTACGATAGAATTTTCCAGTAAAGCCATCTGATCCTGGCGCCCGTGTTGCTCCTATATTGAACACTGCTCGCTTAATCTCCATCACAATTACCTCCACCGTCAATCTCCTATTCATCTCCTCGGTGACGGAAGTAGGAATCGGAAGATCAGTCACTCGAGCTGCCATATCCTGTATCTTATTCTCCGACTGGAATAAATGATCATAGAAATCCCCCGCCACTACGCCCTTCTGGCCTTCATCGGTCACCCAAATTCCATCATTATTGAATAACCCATCAATGAAATTTTTCTGACGGCGAGTTCTTGTGACCGTATGTAAGTACGCTGAATTTTGATTCCCTTCACCTAACCGTTGTACCCTCAATTTTTGACGCCATAATATTTCTTCATTCACCCACTGCCGAGCTAAGTCACGCTCAAGCTCCATCACTCGGTCCCAGTCCACGTTTATTTCACCCTTTACCGCCTCAATCTCCGTCTGTAGGATCCGAATATTCCAGGCCGAGTTTGTCGTTCCAGCGCGACTCTAATCGTATAATAGGTGTCGAAGAGCCTTTAGGAGTTGCCATAGTCGAAACATAGGCGAACCGTTATACGGTTGACTCCATGCATAGCTCACAAGAAACCTTGTTTGTGGATTTTCAGCCCATCTCACATCAAATCTAAACAGTGGCTTAGAGCTCCTTACAAATGGTTTATCGACCACAAGTAAAGCTCTGTGATCAGACCCAAGGTCCGTACAATATTTAACCACCGTCTCCGAAAATTTCTCCATCCATAGAGGAGATGCTAGAACCATGTTAAGATGTTCCATGATACACTCTGCCCCCATGCATCTATTAGACCATGTAAATTGCGGACCCATAAAACCAACATCCTGCAATGCGAGATCATTTACAAAATCACGCACCCCTGCCACCCTACTGGGGTGCCATAGCAAATCGCTAGATTTTTCCGATGCTTCCATCACACAATTCATATCCTCCAACACCACATAGGGAACATCAAGATTAGAACAATAATGACGCAGTTCAATAACTTGTTGTTGTCTAATCGAAACATCACTGAAAAAATAAACACACACAAACATACTCCAAAGGGCCATTTTCATTAATACCATAAGAAATTAAAAAAACCCAGAATGCTCCACAATGGTAAGGTCCACTCCCATGTCCCAAACTAGAGCCAACCCAACTGAAGCATTAACTGCATCGACAAGAAAAAATGCTGAAAACCAAGACCCCGCATCCTACGAGAAACTACGCGCCTACATGATTTTGTTTCCGAAAGGAAAACAACATCTGGCTTCTTCATCCTACAAAAACCAAGCAACGACTGAAACATAAGAGACGGCCTTATACCCCTTACGTTCCAAGCAATCATCTTCATTTATCGGTTTGGGACCACTCTTGGCCGGTTTCCTCCACCGCACTGTCAACACATTTTTTCTTTACCGGAGTAGGATCAAACTGCAATCCTTCCACTTTCCCAGCAGCCCGCTTGCGTTCATCGATCTCTTCAGGGTCAGGTGCAGTCATTCGAAATGCATCCTTCCCCTTTTACTTCCCCGTCCCTGGAGTAGCCTGTAGCTTAGGTTCATTGGCATGCCTGCTCTGAAGTTGTCCAGCACCGCCCCTTGGAAGCTGCTTCAAGCCGCCATCATTGAAGCCTTCTCTACTTCGGTGACCAAGAACAGACACATAGCCTCCTCAAAAATAATTCGGACGGAACCTTTCATCAGGTCTCTGCCCTTTGCCATACACATTATACTGCCCTTGTCCACCCTTGCCCTTATTTTTGTAAGAGTGTCCACGTCCAGCTCCAATCCCATTGCCACCACCATTCGATCCGCTCCCTTGAACCTTGTATTCAATCTTCTTTGCAGGTTTAAAGTGTGGATTCCTCATACCCTGCTCCTGTTCAACTTGTTTTTTGGCGGGTAGAGCAAACACCACTGATTTGTGCTCTTCTTCCACAGCAGCGTCCTCCATCTCCACATCCCTCTTCTGCTTTCTACTATCCTACCCCATTCCACCAGCTTGAGGATTCAACCAAACAGAAGGTTGAATTGGAGGCCTCAACAGCTGCAGAATGAAAGCAGCCTCCTCCACTCGATATCCAATGATATCTGTAGTTAGCTCAAGTCCATAGTGCTCGATCCCAATTGGATCCGGGAATGTGCAATTTAGAGCTATGTGCCAAGTCTTTCGTAGTGGTAGCACAACATAGGAAGGAATTCGTACACCAACGTAACCCAGAACTCGCCCGCCAATGGATACTCACATACACTTGAGAACGCAGGGGCTGTAGAACATCGATCAGTACCTTAGCCTTGATGAAATGCCCCGGCATTCCCTGAATAGCATATGCTACAGCCTCTAGCACTGTGCCAATCTTTGCTCCTGCCAAGACAGGTTTTCTTCCAATTTACAATATATAATAAATAATCAGCCAAAATTTTGTGGTCTTTTTTTTCAAACAATCATCTAAATTTTTTATATTAAAATATGATTTCATGGCAAGAAAGGGATTCAAGGTTCACAGTTTAATTTGAATTTAATCATGAACAAACTAGTAACAAATTGATGTTTTATTATTAAAAAAAACCTGTATGACACATAACGATATAACAAGCCATAAAACATTATTACTTGACAAATAATGGATTTTAGTGAAGTGTTATTAACGCCCCACACTGGACGAAAAATTTTCCATCTTTGGATTATACATAGTTAGGGACTTGGAGCAGTAAATTTGGGGAGTAAATATGGTTCAAAACTAAATTCAGCAAAAACTATGAAACACATCATCTCCATTCGTCAATCTACCAAAGATATGATAGCCAGAAATTAATATAAGGACATGAGGGTCAGGTAGGTAATTTTCACGCCCTTCTTTACTTTTGGTTCTATACAAGGATTATAGAGGAGATAAGATCTTGACTAGTGGGAGTATACTTTTTATAATCCCTCATTTTTAATTGGATCATATCTCCTTCGTTTTAACTTGGAATCTAAAAACATTTACATAGAAAGATTTGTATTAATTATGATATACACAACGGGTTAATTGCACGGTTGGTCACTGAGATTACAAAAAACGTTCAAGTTTGGTCACTCAAAAGATTTAAACCCATTGGTGGTACTTCAGTTTACTGAAACCGTTCACGTTTGGTCACTCTCCGTCCAACTCCGTTAACTTTGGATGGAAAAAATCCCAAAGTACACTAGTTCTTAAAAAAAAATTCTCAAAATACATAAGTTATAAAAAAAATTTCAAAACTACACATGTTTGGCATTCACCGTTTTTGACAAACGCAGTGAATATAATCACCGCCTTTGTCAAACACGGTGAACATATCACCGTTTTAAAATAAAACGGTGACATGTTCACCGTCTTTTTAGAAAGCGGTGAAGTATTCACCGCGTTCAACAAAAACGGTGAAGACATCACCGTTTAAGTCAAAAGCAGTGAAAAGCGGGGAACATATTCACCGCCTCAGACTAAGGGGTTGATTATTTCCCACGTTTCCCGAACCTGGTAGGTGAAAATTAGGTCACAGCTACCTAATGTTCACCGTTTGAGACTAACGCGGTGATATTGTTCACCGTTTTAGACAAAGGCGGTGAATACTGGCCGATTTTACTTTAAATACCACTCCCACCTGCATTTCTAAAAACGTAATCCCTCCCCCCTCTTCAAATTTCAGCAGCCAAAACCGAGCAACATACACAGAACAAGAATTTTCTGTATGATTTAATTTTCGTATTAATTCCTAATGGTTGTTTCTAGTAGTTATATTGTTAGTTATGTTATGAATTACTTATCGTAGCAAATATGACCGATGTTATGAATTACTGGAATTATGCTAATAGTTACTTATTGTAAATTGTAGATATGGGTAAATTCAAGAAGTTTCAACTTATTATTCGGTGGAATGGAAGGGTTACAAACTCTGACATAGGGATTGATTATGAGGACGGTGTATCCACTAAGCTGAAACTTGAGTCGCGATTCAATTTTCAAGAACTCTGTGATATTTGTGCACACAGGGTTTGTACGAGCGGACAGACGAGACTTGGTAAAATTACTTACCGGTATCCATGTATGAGTACTGGCGGTCTTGTGTACCAAGAAGTTGTCATAAACGATGATGACGCGGTTACGATGATGTTACAGTTCCTAAGCGATAACGGGATGCGGCAAGCGGAGGTGTATGTTGAGACCGAGGCGGTCGGTGAAACTCATTCTCACCAGTATTCTTATGATGATGGTTTTGCAGGAGGGTACGGATGGGGTAGTAGTTCGAGCAACTACGAAGGAGGTGGTTATACAGGAGGTTACGGAGAGGGTGGTAGTTCAATCAACTACGGTGGAGGTAGTAGTGGAGGATGGGTGCCATCGGAAGAATACTCGCAATAGGATCAACCTGCCGATGGCGTTCAATGGCCTGCTTGATGACCCTCCAGCGACATCCGATGCAGGTGCCCACGAGTACTCAAATGGTTTAGTGAGCTCGGTTGCTTGAGTTGTACGCACCTCTTCGAAAGTAGGCAGAGGCCTACGTTTGCTCCTTCGTGGGGGCTCAACCGGGGGCTCAATGGGCTGACCTTCACGGAATGATGGGCGTGCCAGAGCGGGAATGGGAGGATAGGCCACGACATCCCTCCTTTGCTCTCGGGTATAACTCAAGAGGTTGTTCATAAGCCTGCTCAACCATGAAGTCTTGCGCTCATCCATGGTTGGCGCACTATCGAGGGTGTGTTTGGCGTGTTCCAAACCATCAACCTAAGCATGTATATAATAAATCAAAATTAATTAAACCTAAAACAAAATAATTAGACTCACGAGGGAGATTAGGATGACTTACCAACGAACCCATCACAGCACCTTGCTTTGACACCCATCTATTGGTGAACTTCCGATACCACTGCATGTACCCATCGTGGTAGCCCATCGGTCTCGTCTCCGGCATCCCTTGGACCACCCATGTCCCTCTATTCTCCCAGATGTTGATGTAGTACTGATGCTTTAGGATCCAATTCTTTGAAGCGTGTCGGAGGTCGATGGCATGGAGCTCCCTGAAACCTCGAGGCGGGTCTTGTGGAATTGGTTGCTCCATTCGATATTGCCTCAAACAACGATCGGGTAGGTGCCACTCAACGAGGTGCCAACAGATCAATGGCACCTTGCACAACCATGTCTCGTGATCCAGAGGGTTTCTAAGATGATGCAATTCGACCACTTCACGTGGGTATGGATCCCAAATAACCTATATTCATTCAAATAATGCAATTAGCGACCATTTAAATTGAAAAACCTTAACTTGTTAAAATATGATAGAACATGATTACCTGATTCCACCAAGGCTTATCTAGCTCAAAACGATAAAACAGTAACGAATGCTCAGGTTGATGGTCATTCGTATTTGCTCCTATCCACCTTGTAAGTAAAAGCATGGAATAATTGTAAATTAGGCTAATTACGGAATAAATTCAATTTAAATCAAGCTAAGCATGGAATAAATTTAATTTAGGCTAAGTACGGAATAAATTCAATTTAAATCTAGCTAAGCATGGAATAATTTTAATTTAGGCTAAGTACGGAATAATTTCAATTTAAATCTAGCTAAGCATGGAATAATTTTAAATTAGGCTAAGTACCGAATAAACTTACTTGACACCTTAAGGGGGATTTTGCAGAAAGTTTAGCTCATCATCGGCTCTCCGGTATGGACGTGGGTCTAGAGGTGAGAACATTGGAAGATGCTCCCATACCCACAGTTGTAGGATAAACATCGCAGCACCAGCTTGTTTTGCTCCCACCTTCGAGCAAGTGCACAGCTCCCGGTATAGGCCAGCTAACACGGCCGATCCCCAACTCTTTTCCCCGATTGCGTCCCAGTCACCAGTGAGCAATGGCAACCGTATGCCTTGAATCCACCGGTTTGACTTGTCGGGGAACAGAAATCCACCCACCAAACCAATGAGGTAGATGCGTGCATAGCGCTCCACTTGATCTTCCGGAGTCTCGTCATTGATTTCCACCTCATTCTGGATGTGAGTTACCAGCCACGGGATCGACACTTGTCCCGCATTCAACGGTGGATGCCCCCATCCTAGAATGGTGTGGTGGTCGGCATGTCAAATCCCAATTCCCTAAGAATGAGCGGCCCCCAACCTCCTTCGGGTTTGGTAGTCGAACCAATGATGGCATCTCCAGAAATCGGCAGCCCGGTGAGGATCGCCACGTCTTTGAGGGTGATCGTCATTTCCCCCTCCGCAAGGTGGAACGTATGGGTTTCGGGACGCCATCGCTCCGCCATTGCCGTAAGCAGATCGTTGTCGATTTCGATCCGCATGAAATGACGCAACATACCCAACCCGGTCCTCTCTATATAGGGCGCCAATCGTGGATGTCAAGCGGGCAAGTTTGTGGTCCCTTTATGAACGACGGGAACAAGTGATTCCTTCAAAAAAATAGGTAAAACATCAATTTGTTAGTTTAAATAAAGCAAAATAAAACCTTAGAAAATAATAAAATAAACCAAATAAATCATCAAATTACCGGATTGTTATCCCAAATAGCACGGGAGCAATGAGCTTCTTGATCGGTTAAGAGACTCATATCTCTTGGCCCATAATGGATATACAATCGAGGATCGTATATCTCGGCACCCATCTATAAAAAAAGTAATGAAATCGGAGATTGTTTTGATAAAAAAAATAATCACAAAATCAAATTGTTTCGATTAAAAAAAACCTACACGAAGAGCCTCTTCGTCCATTTTTTGGCAGAAGCCGGACAGAGGTTCGACGGGTTCGGGTTTGTAAGGGACGGGAGCTTAGCGGGACGGGGGCTTTAGGGTCAAACTCTAGTAATTCTTTCTAATGTGGAAGATCGGACTTAGCCGCAACCACAGAGCATACTTAGAACGAGACTAGAGCGGATAAATTGAGGGAGAAAGAAGTGAAATGGTTGTGGTGTGAGTTGTAAGTGGGGGGGGGGGGGGGGGGGGAGGGTCTATTTATAGTTGGGGGAAGGGATCAGCCGAATTAATTCTGGGGGGAATTCACCGCCTCTGTCAGAAACGGTGAAGGCATCGCGTTTCTCAATGACGGTGAAAGGGCGCGGATCGAGCGACGTGGCTTAGCGTGAGGCGTCGGATCTAGGAAGAAAACCACGATCCGAGCCTCACCGCATCCGACGGCCACGGTGAACGCGTCAGCGACACGGATCGCTGACGCAAACAAACACGGGGTATTCACCGTGTTTGTTTAACGCGGTGAATACCCCGCGTTTGTCCACGTCAGCGATCCGCTTCGCTTCATCGTGGCCAATCAACGCGGTTTAAATGTCACCGCTTTTAATTAAAACGATGATTGATTCACCGTGTCCCTCTAAAATGGTGATTGCCTCGCTGGTTGTTCACCGTTTTAAATGAAGACGGTGAATACGTCACAGTTTTTATTTTAAACGGTGAACTATTCACCGTCTTTGTCAAACGCAGTGATATTCTTCACTGCGTTTGTCAAAAACGGTTAATGCCAAACATGTGTATTTTGGGGAAAAAATTTATAACTTATGTATTTTGGGAATTTTTTTTAAGAACATGTGTACAGTGGGATTTTTTCCAACTTTGGATGACGTGGCAGTCAACTCTCAAAGTTGACCATTAACTTAATGACGTGGCAATTAAGAAATAATAAATAAACTAAAATTTAATATATTTTAATGTCCAACTCATTTTTATCATAAAATAAATAAATAAAATAAAAAATTATTACAATTATCAAATTGAAAGGGCTCTCCGATCAAAGCACCGACATTTGCATACTAGTCACGTGCCCGGCCGGTTGGCCGGATTCGTTTATAAATTAAGAAAATAGTTTAACCGACATCCTCTTTAACCATAAATATAAAAAGAGAATAAAATAGTTCAACCGACATCCTCTTTAATTCGAAATATAAAAAGAGAATAAAATAGTTCAACCGACATCCTGACTGACTAAATTCACGTACGATAAATGAAAGAAAAACCCCATGAAAGAGAACCGACTCCTAGAATTGCTTTAAAAGAATCCTTCTATTTACTCCTCATCGTCGGAGACAACTCCATGTTTTTTTTTCTGGTTCTTTTCACTTCTTGGCCTCAATATTTGACATTTCGATTCTATATTTCCTGGAAGCTCTTTTTTATTATGATGTGTTCTTAGCCATTAGAATTTTGTTCTTTTTTTGTCCTAATTATTATATGGTACCCACAATACAATTCTATTGTTGTGAGTCATATTTATCCCTGCTCTGTTTAGCTTGATTTGTGATCAATTAGAATCGTTATTAAATGCATGTCAATGTTTTATGTAGAAATGAAATCAGTAAGATGCAGATGTACTCATATTAGGGGTTGGTTTTCTCATATTGCCTTCGGTGATCCTTTTTCTAGCCACAATCATTCTAAGGAATGAATTGTTTTTTATGGGACTTGGTTAGTACTCATCAGTTCTATTCCTGACATCTTTGGTGGTTTTTGCTCATTTAATTTAGAGGACTTTCAAATTGGTTTGTTGTCTATCTATTCTCGCAAATTTTATTTAGAATTTCATGTGATCACTCTGCCTCAACCATCTAAAGCACCGTCATCCCCACCAATTATAATGCATTTTTCTTTCTTCACAATAGGTTGTTCCTACTTTTTTTATTAGACGCCAATCTTTAATAGTAAAATGTTTAAAACACTAAATATTAGTAGAATTTTATGTCTCATGGACATTTTATCAGATTTCTTCTTTCCCCTGATGCAAACAACCAATAGACCAACATATAAATTTGATAATTTATAGATTGAAAACTTAACGAATAATTTGTAGGCATTGACTATTCGCCAATAAATACGTTTCTTCTTTCTTGTATATCTGCAAAATTTATTTTCAAAATTGGCTAGGAAACCATGGTGGTCAACTATGAAAATAATTAAACCTACCATGAATGTCATTTTTTTATCTGTGGTGGTTTTATTTATAATTTATAAATCGTGAATTAGGTGGGGAGTATCATGATAGGAAGATTGGAAGCTTAGTTAAAGTCTACTAAGGGAGGCGAGACCCACTTTCATAACAAACTAACAAAAAATTGATGGTGGGAAAACACGATTAGGAATTGTTGCATAGATTGGGTACCATTATAGAAGAATTAATAGTTCATGAATGCTATCATATATGATGCTAGATAACATACATTTTATTCCAAATATGTCAAAATGGATACTATTTTGTTAGTATAGTTAATTCGATGTTTAGTTAATATCAATTATAAAAATTGTAATATGAATAATTGAAAACTAATAACAAAGTGGTTATGAACCTTGCTTATACACCAAATTATATTAATAAACTAACAATATTATAAATTAGCTAAATGAATACAGTAAAACAAAACTGCTAATAATAATTTCAATAAATATGTAGAGATGAATTTTACAATGCTTTTATTTGAAAAAAATGTATGTATAGTACAAATTGAACTTATATTTTTAACGTTATAGTCAAATTCATTTTGTGTATACCTTTTCGTACAAATATTTTTCTACTACAAACTAAATTGTACTTTTAATGTCACTTTACAAATTTAGTTTTACATATATCTTCTCATAAAAATTCATTTATGATACAAACGGAACTGTCCTTTAACGTTATAATATAGTTTGTATCGATATATTTTTGTACAAATTGAATTTATACTTTTAACATTGTAGCACTAATTCAAATTGTATTTGCAAACACTAATATAATAATATATGATTAGAAGGAAGTAATTAGAAGTAATTTTGGACTTATATGACCAATATAAATTAAAACAAAAGCCCCATCCTCAGCGCAGTACCCCGAAAAAACAGAGGCTTAGCCCATCTATTGCATTTATTTATGGCCAATCTAAATGAGAATCAAGGGAATTAGCTCAAGGAAGAGCCATTCAGGACACCACTGGTAATTGAATAAGGATATGATTATATGACTACTGATAGAGCAAGTTTCAGTTTCCCTGCGAGCAAACTAAACTATTCAAGACTGAAATCAAAATCATACTGAAAGCAAGCCAGAATCAATTGCACAAATCAACATACGCTGAACTATTTAACAGTGAAAGGAACAATCCTCATCAAACGAAATAAATGGGAAAAAAATACAAAAAGAGGTAAGAAAGGATTACAGGTGTGAACCTTAAAGAAAGACTTGTGGACTGGTGATGCTAATAGCCGCTCGAGTGCTGCTGTTGTTTTATCCCAGTGGTGGCAATTGTATTCGACCGAGGGAACAAAGATTGGTGGAGCAGACCTAATATATCTACGCACCCAAATGAAGAGCGAAAGCTTTCAGCAAAACATGGGCAAGGTTCATCTAAAGAATTCAGGAACAAATGCAAAAACATAGCCCATCTCTCTATTAGCCAGGAATTTTATCGGGGGAAAGAAGTGGCTAATTAGGTTTTCTATTCGGGGGTAGTGCCCCTTCTTCCAGGTGTGTACATAGCTAGAAAGAAAATTGGTATGGAAGTGGGTAGAGAGAGAGAGGGATACTTCGCCAGTAAATTCTAGGACCAGCACTATGGTTCAATTCCTCTTCGACCGCTGGAAATCACTCCTGCGACCAACTAAACGACCAAGGGGAGAAGGAAGGGGAAACAAAATCTCCACATCCACAACACGGCCTGCCGGATTTAGGGGACGCGAAAGACAGGCTCCGAGTTGATGCTCGAGTCGGGCGGTGAGGTTAGATTTCCGGCCGGTCGCCGACAGCGAGAGAGTTGGCGGACACGAAAGACAGGAAGAGAGAGACAGCTGCGATGTTGAATTACGGCGGCGAGATTGTTTGGGCTGGCGGCGATGTTGCGGTGAGGTTCGATTTCACAGAGGCTGCGAGCGGCGAGTTTCGCGGCGAGGCTGTTTGGGCAGGCGGCGATGTTGTTTGGGCGGGCGACGGCTGGAAGCTGGGGTTCATTTGGGAGAGAGAGCCCGATGAGGGCGTTCAAGTTTGCAGGCGCGACAGGATTGGGCTTTGAGGGAGGGCCCAGACATTTTCTACCAGTGGCCCATCTCAATCGAATGCAAAGAAGCCATTTTACCAATTTGGCCTCCCGTGAAATGCGCAGAGCGCAGGAAAACAGGAATTAATGGTGCTGCGGGCTGGAATCTCCTTATTATGTTGTTAGGATTAGGATGAAGATCCGTCTTCCTCCATTGCTCTCTTCGCTATCCTTCCCAGCTCGCCGGTCTTCCTCCTCATCTATGCCGCCTCCTCACCCTCCTTCGCCATCATCCGCCCCACCGCATCCGCCACCCCTCCGCTCCCCACCTTCACCCCGTACAGCTGCTTCGGCCCGACCGCGATCCCAATCCCCAGGATCTCCGTTAGCAACTTGTCGTTGTAGAATTGCTCCGCCGTCACCGGCCACGTCACCATCAGAGCATTTGGTGACGAAGAATTTGGTGACGGCTCGAAGCCCATGCTGACGTCGAAATTCTCGCATTCCGGCGGCTGCGGCGGGGAAATCGAGGGTTTCGACGGCAATTGAGGGGAAGCTGCAGTGGAGGTTTTTGGAGAAGAGAGGGGCGTTGAGCGGGGTGGTGACGACGGTTACCTTGAGGCCGCGGGAGGTGAAGATTTTGGTAGTGTCGATCATGGGGATGACGTGGCCCTGCGCCATGAAAGGGAAGACCAGGATGTGGAGCTTTTCTTCTTCTTTGTCCATGGCGGAAGGAAGATTTTGATTCAAGTTTCTGTAGTGTAACTTGTTCAATTGATTTTCAATTTTACTGTGTCCCCCCAGGTTAATATTCATAACCTGTTAATCTCATGAAAGTAACTTATTTAAATTGTGTGAAAACAATTTAAGAACTCAATTAACTTGCTTTTCTATTTTGTTTCAAATTTTACATTTGGTGAGGTTTCGGAGTTCCTTTCAATTTGATAATTAAAATAATTATTTTATTTTATTTATTTATTTTATGGTAAGAATGATTTGGACATTTAATAGATTAAATTTTATTTTATTTATTATTTCTTAATTGCCACATCACTAAGTTAACGGTCAACTTTGAGAGTTGACTGCCACATTAGCCAAAGTTAACGGAGTTGGACGGAGAGTGACCAAATGCGAACAGTTTCAGTAAACTGAAGTACCACCAATGAATTTAAATATTTCGAGTGACCAAACTTGAACGTTTTTTGTAATCTCAGTGACCAACTATACAATTAACCCTATACACAATGTTATCAATTTTGCTACATTCTGAGAAAAAAATAAGACTTTCAAACACATGTTTGTTTAGGGATGGCAACCTTGACCGACCCGCCGAATACCCATCCATCATGGGTAAAGGGCGGATATGGGCATATCCAAAATCCTTGAGTAACGAGCAATATGCGTCGATGGATCTCGTGGTATCCACCCCGTCCCCGCTCGATCCTCCAAAATGACGTCGTTTTGGACGCTCAATATATAAACTAAATAAGGGTTCAAAAAACCCTAATCCTCATTTCCTCTTGTGGTGGCTAACTGCTCCCCTTCGCTCTCCACTCTTCCTCTTTTTCCTCTCCTCCCTCTTCTGATCGCCATTATCCAGACACTCCTCACCCCTTCTCTCTTTCTCTTCTTCCTCTCCTCCCTCCGCTCCTGCAACCCCAAAATTGCGCACGCATCTCCAATCGTGCCCGCTCCAGTCACCCCCCCCCCCCCACTCTTCTCTCTTGTTTTTCTTCCTTATAGTTGCGCTCGCATCTCTAATCCTTGTTCATGATCCATGGGTTACCCGGATCCGTTTGCTGACGGAGACGGCATACAGAATCCCCTCGTTTAACCTACGGGGACAGGGAAATTTGTCAACCTTGACGGGCGGGGATCGGGAGGTAGGTACCCAATCCCGATCCGGCCAGATGCCATCCCAATGTTTGTTATCATCGTAGCACTATGGTAATACTTATACTACTTTCTTACATTCTTATACCATTGATATTACCACTATGGTAAGAATTTATGCTACCATATTACTACTATAGTTTGAATTCATACTACAATCTTACAACTGTCATAATACGATGTTATCACTGTCATAAAATGATCTTTCCACTATTGTAAGATTTCATACTACCTTTATGTCATTATCTTACCACTATGCTAAGACTTCATACTACAATCTTACCACTATTATACCGTAATCTTACCACTTTACAATACTTCATACTAACACCATGCCAACACCATATCATGATATTACCATAGTGGCAATATCATGGTATGACAAAAGTTGATGACTTTGAAATATTCTGCTCCAGAAATATCAAAATAGATATTATTTTGGAAAGCAACAAAATAATGTAAAACTTTTCGAAATTCCGAGTCAAAATGAATGAGGTACAATCCATTGAAAATATGTGAGATATTGAAAAATCTTGTATTTGCTGTCTATGAATTTGTCTTAGCTCACTCTTTACCCACCAAAAATGTGGCAGGTGTCCGAAATTAAAACATTTATCTCCTTAACTCTAATAATGTGAACCATTAATTGTATCCTATTTTTTGCTTCACATATCAATGGATAGAATTTGATTATGGAGCAGAACATCACTATGGGTTTTGCATTGTAACTTAAGCCACAAATTTGGGTTTGGTGCCATATAAGAGAATCCTTGGGGTTTTCTTAATAAGTTGGATTTTATAATGTAGTGACACCAGTCGTTCGACCTAAAAATAACACAAAAGACTAAACTTGGGATCCTGCATTTTTCATCCGATGATCAAATTAGAGGGGAAAATGTAGAAAAAGGGAGGGAGAGAGAGTATGAAAAAATTGTTTGAATATTTTTTAGCCAAATGAGAGCTGACGGCCTAGTATTATAGGTAACGTGACCTAGTAAGCCACTTTTCCTTCGATATTTGCCTCTAACATTTTTGACATACTGTAGAGACCTTTATTCCTTTTCTAGAATTACCACACCCACGCTATGTGTGATCTACGAAACCTTCATCTGGAAGGGGACTATTGCAACTGGTGGTATTATCAGTGTTGTTAAAGCCGGACCGGACCGGACCGACCGGTCCAACCGATATAACTGTCACTCGTCTGGTCAGGCTACTTAACCGTCACAGTCCAATCTTCCGATTTGTACGCGAACCGGCCGATTGAACCGTGCTAGCCATTCGAACCGCTCAACCAATTTTGACGGTCGGAATCCTATTTGACCAAATTCAAAATTTTGTACAAATGTGAGAGAGCTGGGATTTGAACCCAACACATCTTGGTGGCAACTCAGACCTTCTACCAATTGGTCTAGCCCCATTTTTGTGAAATAAAAGCTAATAAATTCTTTCATCAATCATTACGCTGCGTTTAATTTTGAAAAATCACAACTTCTATGCTTAAATACTTTATATTTATGTAAAAATTAAAATGATAATCTTTACTTGCCATATATAATTTTCTATTAGGAATATATTAGAATTAATATATAATTATACTACTATTAATGGTTTCTACTTATAATAATTTATTTATTAGACACCGGTTCGTTAATGGGTTTATAGCGGCTTAGTACCGGTTAAACCAGTAAAGTGCGAATCACTTACTATACTAGTTCATATACCGGTTCGATTCTGACAACATTGCAAATTATGCTTCGACATGAGATTCTAGGTATGAGTCTATTGCCTTACACCATAGCTAAGAAAGTTCTACATACTCGGACGAGACAAATCCCTCATGCCTTAGCAGGAAGACGAATGACGTCTCCCTACATAAGGGAATTGATAGTCATGGATAGAGGTGATGAGTAGTACAAGAAAGAGCACACGGATAGGTTTTATAAGGTTTTCAAAAAAAAAATGTTAGATCAATAACTATGTGTTCTTTAAAAAAAAATTGATGATATTCTTTTCATGATTGAAAAACTACATGCATGTCATTCTTTTACCTATTATTATTCATATAAAAAAGAAAATTAGTTTCAATTTATTGGAATAAAAAGTGACATTTATGAGAAAATGCTACTTCAGCATGGTTGATGGACAAAAATATAAAATAAGTGCTTATATGGTCAAGTTATCTAAATAAAGTACAGAGAGAACAAGCAAGAAATGAATATGTGTTGCGTTCTTGGGTTTAATTTTTTTTTATTTTTTTATAGATTAGCTTAGTTTTTTTTCCCCTTCATTTTTTGTGAAGTTGGTTAAGTTAGTTTGTTTTCATTTGCATGGAGTTTGTGGGAGTTTCGTTTTCTACCTTCATCATTATACCTTCAATCTCATCCACAAACAACATCATTTTCCAACATTGCCATCCCTAACAACTCCTTTTTTATAGATTTCAAGTGCTTCAATAGCCCAATTCTTAGTTTTATTTCATTTAAGCCTTTCGAATGTGGCTATGTTAGTGATGCCAAAACATTTTGGCATCACAAACATTAGCAATTGTAGAATTTATTAGATCTCTCATTATCTTTTTGTTCTTCCATACTCAACTTTCTTGTTCCAGAAAATGGCTTCAATGACTCTAGAGGATGAAGCTTTTGCTTTGGTAAATGCAACTGTGGTTGCCATTGGCAAGGAGAAGAATAGCCAACATGTTGTTCGTTGGGCTATTGATCGTCTCCTAGTCAATAATCCCGTCATTGTTTTGCTTCATGTTAGACACAAGAACCATCATTATCGTAGGTACCCTTCTCTTATGTCTCATTTTATTTAAATTTTATCTTTAATATAACATTTGCAGATGATCATTTATATGAAATTATAAACAATACATATATAATAACAAATAACTGCTATTTCCCTTTGATTATCATTATCTTGATGTTGGTTCATTGGTTTTGAGGTTTCAGAGGGAGATGATGTTGATCATCTTTTTGCACCTTTTCGTGGATATTGTGCTCGTAAAGGGGTATGCTATGTTGCAATGTTAAATTGATGTATTGCTCTTCTTTATCTAAGTTACGCAAGATAAGGAAAAATTATAAGGCAAATTGCAGGTTCAATTAAAGGAGGTTATCATCGATGAGACCATCGATGTAGCTCGAGCAATTCTGGATTACGTCAATGCGAACTTAATAGGAAGCATAGTTGTTGGTGCTTCTAGTTCCACAAAATATGCTCTCACATGGTAAAAAGTACTAATGAGAAATACGTTTTTTATTCTTTATTTTTTCCCAATAACACAAATGACTGAATTGCTTTTGGTTTCTAGGAAATGGAAAACTCAAGACTTGGCAACCACAATAATGAAGAATGCACCGGAGTTTTGTTCTGTATATATAATCTTAAAGGGAAAGATTTTGTCTGTCAAAACAGCAGTACGATCAGTTTCAAACTCTCCAATTCCACCAAAGGCACCACTACCCAATGGTTCACCAGATTGTTTTGATCTTGAAGATGGTTTTAGGTAAGGGGATAGCTAATAGCTATCCATGTAGATTTTTCTATGAAAAGATCCATTGCATTAACAAGGAACAACAAGTTACATCGACATTACCCTTATTGAAGCCAATTGCAAAAATTGAAGCCATTATTAATTATTACCATTTATTTATTTTAATTCTATCATATTTGTTTGAGTATAGAGGCCAATCAAGGAAAAGATTGTCAAAAAATGGTGGGATAGATCGACTATCATTTGAGAGTAGTAATGACCCTATCATTGGACCATCTCAAGATAG